TAATCTAATAACATGCTATATAATAAAATGGAAGAACATTGAAAAAACAAAAGCGCTAAATATACTAATTTCGAACACTCTACAACAAATAAGAAAAGCACTGTAATTAGAACTATAGAGCACAAAATAAGTATAATATATAACATGCTATATAATATAAAGGAAAAACATTGTAAAAACAAAAGCGCTAAATATACTAATTTCGAACACTCTACAGCAGATGCGAAAAGCACTGCAATTAGAACTATAGAGCACAAAGTAAGTATAATCTATAACGTGCTATATAATACAAAGGAAAAACATTGAAAAAACAAAAGCGCTAAATATACTAATTTCGAACACTCTACAACAAATAAGAAAATCACTGTAATTAGAACTATAGAGCACAAAGTAAGCAAAATCTAATAACATGCTATATAATAAAATGGAAGAACATTGAAAAAACAAAAGCGCTAAATATAATAATTTCGAACACTCTACAGCAAATGCGAAAAGCACTGCAATTAGAACTATAGAGCACAAAGTAAGTATAATCTATAACGTGCTATATAATACAAAGCAAAAACATTGAAAAAAGAAAAGCGCTAAATATACTAATTTCGAACACTTTACAAGAAATAAGAAAAGCACTGTAATTAGAACTATAGAGCACAAAGTAAGCATAATCTAATAACATGCTATATAATAAAATGGAAGAACATTGAAAAAACAAAAGCGCTAAATATACTAATTTCGAACACTCTACAACAAATACGAAATGCACTCCAATTAGAACTATCGAGCACAAAGTAAGTATAATCTATAACATGCTATATAATACAAAGGAAAAACATTGAAGAAACAAAAGCGCTAAATATACTAATTTCGAACACTCTAAAACAAATATGAATAGCACTGTAATTAGAACTATAAAGCACAAAGTAAGCATAATCTAATAACATGTTGTATAATAAAATGGAAGAACATTGAAAAAACAAAAGCGCTAAATATACTAATTTCGAACACTCTACAACAAATAAGAAAAGCACTGTAATTAGAACTATAGAGCACAAAATAAGTATAATATATAACATGCTATATAATATAAAGGAAAAACTTTGTAAAAACAAAAGCGCTAAATATACTAATTTCGAACACTCTACAGCAAATGCGAAAAGCACTGCAATTAGAACTATAGAGCACAAAGTAAGTATAATCTATAACGTGCTATATAATACAAAGGAAAAACATTGAAAAAACAAAAGCGCTAAATATACTAATTTCGAACACTCTACAACAAATAAGAAAACCACTGTAATTAGAACTATAGAGCACAAAGTAAGCAAAATCTAATACCATGCTATATAATAAAATGGAAGAACATTGAAAAAACAAAAGCGTTAAATATACTAATTTCGAACACTCTACAGCAAATGCGAAAAGCACTGCAATTAGAACTATAGAGCACAAAGTAAGTATAATCTATAACGTGCTATATAATACAAAGCAAAAACATTGAAAAAACAAAAGCGCTAAATATACTAATTTCGAACACTTTACAAGAAATTAGAAAAGAACTGTAATTAGAACTATAGAGCACAAAGTAAGCATAATCTAATAACATGCTATATAATAAAATGGAAGAACATTGAAAAAACAAAAGCGCTAAATATTCTAATTTCGAACACTCTACAACAAATACGAAAAGCACTCCAATTAGAACTATCGAGCACAAAGTAAGTATAATCTATAACATGCTATATAATACAAAGGAAAAACATTGAAGAAACAAAAGCGCTAAATATACTAATTTCGAACACTCAGCAAGAAATAAGAAAAGAACTGTAATTAGAACTATCGGGCACAACGTAAGTATAATCTAATTACATGCTATATAATATAAAGGAAAAACATTGAAAAAACAAAAGCGCTAAATATACTAATTTCGAACACTCTACAGCAAATGCGAAAAGCACTGCAATTAGAACTATAGAGCACAAAGTAAGTATAATCTATAACGTGCTATACAATACAAAGCAAAAACATTGAAAAAACAAAAGCGCTAAATATACTAATTTCGACCACTCTACAACAAATAAGAAAAGAACTGTAATTAGAGCTATAGAGCACAAAGTAAGCATAATCTAATAACATGCTATATAATAAAATGGAAGAACGTCGAAAAAACAAACACTACAAAAAACTAACCTTTTTGTAATGGAAATTAGGAATCGAATTTATTTTGTCCTTATTAGTAACGGAATTAAGGACTGAATTAGAGAAATGATCATGTTTTACCGATTGGCAACGGAATTTAGGAATGGAATAAAATTCGTCCTTAATAGAGATGAAAAATAGGGACATAAAAAAATCTATCCTAATTATAGACGGAAATTAGGAAGGGACCAAAAAAATCTTCCCCATTAGAGACGGAAATTAGATATGAAAATAATTCTATCACAGATAGAAATATAAATTAAAAACAATGTTATTTCATTAGTAATTAGCAACAAAATAAATAACAAATTTAATTCCATCCCAAATTAAGAACGGAATTAGGGACAAAAATTATTTTCATCCTTATATAAAAATTAATAAATAATTTATTTATTAAATAAAATAATTAAAATTATTTTTTTTTACCCTAATTTTTTTACTATCAACTAGATTTTCCCAAAGTGTATAAAAATAATTAAAATAGTAATAAATTTCATAAATAATTAAATTAAAATTAAAATTAATTATCAAAGATAAAAATATTAGTGTATTAGATAATAATATAATTTAAATTAAATATAATGATAGTGTATTAGATAATAATATAATTTAAATTAAATATAATGATATAATAAAATTTTATAAAATCTAAATATGAATTATTAATAAATATTTTTTTATTAATATAACTATTATTTAATTTCATAAAAAAATTAATAATATATAAAAATATTTTTGGCATATTACCCTGATCACTTAAACACCGGTCTCTTTCTTCCTTCTCCATTTCTTTCACTTTCCATCTTCTTTACCCTATATAATTTTTTAAAAAATAAAAAATAAAAAATAAAAATCCAAGTTCGAACCATAAACCAGCAGATTGGTTTTGGTTTCCGTTGGACGCCCGTCGGTTCGAAATCGATTAAGCAACAGCTCTACCTCGCATAATACCTCTGAAATCGTCGCTAGCCACACCAGCCGCTTGCCGCCTCTCACCATCGACCTAGAAAATCACCGTCGTGTATGTGTTTCTTTCTCTCTTTCTCTCATTTTTTTTACTGGTATAGTGTTGATTTGGGTACAGATTTTGCTTTGAGTTGTATTTCTTAGAGAGATGTTGTGTTATGTATCTATTTAATTTGATTTGATTTTACATTGTGTTTCTTAGGAAGATGTTGATACTGCGTTGGTTGCACTCTCTCAGAGAAGACTAATAAGCGAACTGTTTGTTTCCTCAACAAGGTTTGAAATATTAGCTGTTAATGTTGTATAACTTTGAAATGCAATGTGAATGGATTGTTAAATGTATTTATTAGAAAAAATGATGTATATTATATTAGTTTTCTGATTTGCCTGTAGCATTCTATCATATTTTCAATTTGTTGTTGGATTTTCCTGAACATCCCATTTAGCCTTAGACCCGTCGGTTGTGTTCAAATCCTCGTTTATTTTCTTCCCTTTCCTAGGTGGCTTAGCTCTCTTCGATTTGAGATCCTTGTTTGTAGCAATCCTTGCTGCTGCCTTGAGTGATTCTGCAGCTTCACATGGAACGGCGGACATTAGGAGTGCATCATTTATGCACTGTTCCATCAGCATATGGGTCGACTGGAAGCTCATTCGCTTCAACCCACGTGCGCTGCTGCCACCACCCAACAGAGCATTCATTGTGCTCTCCTGAAACTGGAGCGCAGCAATGGCGTTATCGCGCTCCCTTAGGGCATTGTTGCGCTCCACAATCGCTGCATCTCTCTGCTTAGTGGCGATGTCTCGTTCTTCCAGTGCTGCTCTTTTTTCGGCCAGGGCTCTGTCCCGCTCCTTTATAGCAGCATCCTTTTCGTCGCAGAGAATGCCTATTCTTACATTCATATGGAAAGCATTCTGCTCTTTAACTTGGTACATTAGGACAATTTACATCTCACCACAATATTAGTTAAGGAAACGAACAGAGAGCTGATCAGAAGTTGAAATTGTTCATCTGAGTTACACTAGGATCTATATTCATGCACTGACTTTGATCTTGATAAATTCTATTTATCAACGATGGATGAGATGCTCTCATGGGATCATTACCGGGTGTACTTTGTAGTATTCCAACCTATGTCTCCGGCTTTCGCGTCCTCCTTCGTCCATTTCAACTGAATTTTTTAGAATGATCTAGTAAGTCTTGTTCAGTTGGTTGGGGGTATGATTCTGCCTACCCAGTGTTGAACTCAAGTTTTTTTCTTGCAGTATGTAGAAAGAAATGAAGGTTACAAGGTACATTTAATGGTATAATCATTGTGATTTCAAGCACTCAAGGAGGGAAATGTGAGATAAATGGAATCAGTGTCTAACACTGCTTATTCTGCCATTGAGATTGAATGTCATAGAAGAAACATGAAATGAAATGCAGATGCACTTAAGCCTAAGGCTAAACGAGCATTCTATCATTCGTGATTAGTTTTGTTTACAACAATGGCATGGAGATGGAGTTGGTACTCACATTCATTCTTATGGTTCTATTCTATTATGTTATGTTCTGTCCTTTTTATTAAATTGAATTAATGGATGGATATTCGTGGATTCATTGAATTACATCCCAATTTTGCATTTATGAGTTACTAGAAATGAATGGAATGGAAACTTCTTGTGTCTTCACTTCTGGAAAATCAAGAACATGCTAATTCATTGCTACTACATTTTCTTTATGTGATCACAAAGACATCTATCATGATCTCTATATGCATTATCGGGCCTTCAATCTCTATGTTAAGATATTATCTTGTTGCCATTAGTTTTTAAGTTTCATTTACAGTGAACTATCAATGTTGCCACAAATGCTCTGCCCTGTGCTATGCAGTTCCCTAGCATCATCTACCAGAAGACAGTCACCCTACACTAGGACAGTCCCTATATTGCTCCACCGGCAGCAAGTTGAAGGTTTGTCACTACTACTCACTCTATTCATGTCTTATGTTAGAATTACTATGTTCAATTATTGCATTTTATGTGGAATTTGCTAAATATGGAACTTACTTTGTTAAGTAGCATGTTCATTTTTCTTAATGCATATGAAAATTATTTAAGCACATTCTCATACAAATTGTAAAAATTTCATAAAAAGACACATTATACATACAAGTAACATACAAACTTAGAACTAGTTTCAAGATGACAAGTAATCTAGATTAAGGCAATACAAATATATATAATCTGTTTTAAGCACCTCATCTGGCTGCAACCCTATGTTGCAGTATATAAAGTTGAACCATACCAGTATATGCATAGTGATTGAAATATATATATATATAAGGTGCACATTTCTTATATGTAAATCAGGCTGCTTTTTTTCTTAAGTTTCGTAATTACAATAGATAGTATAAATGTAGCACATAGTAATAGTTTATACAACACTGTAAGCATAGAAGCATTTATATATATGTAGAGTAAATGTAAATAAACAAAATACGTTTTCTAATCCTGTGTTTTGTTAGATGAAACACTTGTAATGTTTTATATATATAATATGTATTAAATATGATATGTTTTTACAGAAAATTGAAATTTTAAGTTTAAAAAAAATCCTAAAATTTGATAAATCGATTGCTCGTGGACATCCAAGTAAAATTATTATATGAAATTATGTATATAGATTTTCTTCTGAAAAGAAATAATAATAAATTGAAACGTGCTACTTTTTCAACAAGATTTGGTTGGGTTGTTACACTAAGTGCACATTTTATGAAATATTGACTAATTAATGTACAAAGCTTAAGAGTTTTTTTCACAGAAGAAAACTAATTTAGCTTTAAATTAAGCTTATGGTCATTGCAAGAACTTTATTCAGTATAATACATTTTATGCACATTATATTATACCGCAATTAGTTATATTTGAAACACACTACATAAATATATATTTGTAATGTCAAATACTAACAAACAAATACACAATATTTAAATACGTACTTGATGCATGAAATTTATAATTCAATTTAGGAATATATATATAGATAGATGTATTTAGAAGAAAGCTACCGAACTCATTTAACACAAAATGCACAATGTACATACATGCATCTATGATCTATCCTCCGGTTTTCTACTCGATCGATACAAAGTTGGCATAGAAATAAACACACATTGCAACAAAGATAACTAACTGAATGAAAACTCATACTTACCTACGGGCTCATCTCGACTGTTCTTGGGCTAAAAGATGCTACCGTTTATTAATTGAATAATATACCAACATGTCTTTGCAGCATGTTAGACTCGGTTGCCCTTACTCTGGTTTACATGTATATACATATATTCATGGTTTGAGTTTTGGTTTGCCTGTATTAAAGTAAAGCTGGAATCAACCTTCCCTCTCACTGCAATTGCATTTAATGAATTTGATTCCAGTTCAGTGATCCAATAAGAACAAACCAAACCAGTAACTAGATGATGCCATATGACAAATACAGAACTCATCATCCATCTTATGTACCTCCTGCATTTTACTTTTCTTTTTCAAAAAAAATATATATTATTATTGAGATTTGCATCTTAACCCCTGTACTTTTGGGTTTTGCCAGTGAAGCTCATGCATGTGCCACACTAATTAATTAGCTAGAAGCTATATATATTTATCTATATATATATATATATATATTACTAACCACCTCTTGAAGTAACTGTTACTAATCTCTTGATAATGACATTATAAATCTTAAGAGAATACTTTATTTTTAGCCTCTTTTCAGCAAAGCTCCAGAATGCCTAAGCCTTTGATATTCAGATTGTTGATGGTCTTGATGTTATTATTATTGGCTTTGAATTGGGGTTTTTATGATTTTCTTAATTCTTCGAACTAAGTTTGTATTTTTGTATTTGAGTGGCAGATCGATCCATGTTTTAATGTAGTAAAGTTCCTATGATTAAATCTGATCCAAGAATATCAAATATCATCTTCTTCTTCATGAAATTATATAATTTTTACATTCTACTTCGATTTGTATAAAGTTGTTTTGTTATCCAACTTTATATTAAGCCATGTTTTGATTAATTTTATATACACATATTTAGATATATATTTATATATATATTGTGAAATTTGTGTACTTTCACTTCAATTGCTATTTATTTGTGAAATGAGGAATGGAAAACAAAAGTTGGGTGTACCATTTGTCGAAAATAATTCTTAAGACGTAAAATAGGATCAGTACTTTTTCTGCCAATCAATTCTTCTGCAGCTTCAATAGCAAATTAAATAATTGATTGAAGCTACCTTCTTTAGTTAAGTAGATTATTATTCAAATTATCTCATGGCTACATATTTGAAGGTGGATCATTGAATATCAATTAATTTATTAACTCATTCATTAGGAATATGCACATTTTACATGTTGATAACTAAATTGGCGCTATTGTACCTATAATCTCAAAGTTATATTGAATTGTGTTCATCAGTTGAAAATTGTAGAACTAACATAAATTTTATTGTTGTTGATGTATCCCTTTCAGTGACGAATTTATTAGACATGACAATCCCAGGGAGGGAATGGATGTATAATAGGATGCGAAATGGTATTTTAAATAAAGAATTTATTAGTGGTGTCGAGGACTTTCTGAATTACTGTATCAATAATCCAGAGGTCTATAAGATCAACAATAATATACGGTGTCCATGCAAACGCTGTAAAAATACGACGTTCTTATCAGTGGATGATGTGAAGTATCATTTGTACCGTAAAGGATTTGTACCCAAGTATGATAGGTGGACATGTCACGGTGAAAAACATGATGGAAGTGGTAGCTCACAACATTTTGAGCCATCCACTTTTGAACATACTATCGATCTAAGGATAGGAGACTATACTCAAATGGTGATGGACGCCGGAGGGCCCGTATTTGAGTCACGTGTAGTGCACGATGAAGAGCCTAACCCTGAAGATAAAAAGTTGTATGATCTCCTTCAAGCTGCTGATGAGGAGTTGTGGCCTGGCTGTAGGAAAGCAACTCTACTATCTGCTGTGTCAAGAATGTTGAACATTAAGGCTGATTTTAACTTGCCTGAGCGGTGGTATGACGTCCAGTGCCAGCTTATGCATGATGTGATGCCGGAGGGCAACCACTTTGTAAAAAACTTCTACGAAACAAAAAAGTTGATCGAAGGTTTAGGTTTACCATGTGAGAAAATTGACTGTTGTCAGTTCGGTTGCATGCTATATTGGAAGCAAGATGCTGAACTTAACCACTGTAAGATTTGTGGAAAACCACGGTATAAAGAAACAAATGGAAAAGCGGTGGCCATTCGATATATGTTCTATCTCCCAATCACTCCGAGGCTTAAACGGCTTTACGTTTCATCTCAGACCGCATCACATATGCGGTGGCATGCAGACCATCGACATGCGAATACCGATGACATTTGTCACCCTTGTGACTCAACAACGTGGAAGGAGTTGGATGCTAAGTACCCTTCCTTTGGATGCGAGCCAAGGAATATTCGGTTGGGCCTCTGCACCGACGGATTTCAACCGTTCGGTCAATCAGGACGACAATACTCTTGTTGGCCTGTTGTTGTTACACCGTATAATCTCCCGCCAAATATGTGTCTCAAAGAGGAATATCTATTTTTGTCGTTGGTTGTGCCTGGTGGGGCAAATCCCAAACAAAAGATAGATATTTACTTGCAACCATTGATTGAAGAATTAACAAATTTATGGAACAATGGGGTTGAAACTTATGATTCGTCATTACGTCAAAATTTCCGTATGAAAGCTGCTCTTTTGTGGACTATTGGTAAGCAGATCTTATCTGAAGAGTTACAAATATGTTATTACTGCAAGTTACTTGTTGGCTATATTTCTAACTATTCCTTCGTATATAGGAGATCTACCAGCATACTCTATGATGTCAGGTTGGGGTACATCCGGAAAAACAGCTTGTCCAATATGCCAAGACCAAACAACTGCGTTCACTCTTCCGGAAGGACGCAAGCAATCTTGGTTTGATACGCATCGAAAGTTTCTTCCCAGCGACCATCCTTACCGATCGGACCGGAAAAGGTTTAAGAAAGAGGAGGTCGAAAGAATGCCTCCGCCACATATAAAATCTGGTGTGGAGCAAATTAGAGAGATAGATCAGTACGGTTTTCTGAAGGTCACTGAACCAGACGCTGAAGAAAGAAATACTGAGTTGTCGCACGTATGCGGATGGCGGAAAAGAAGCATATTTTGGGATCTTCCGTATTGGTCGTCGCTTCTCATTCGACACAATATTGACGTGATGCATGTCGAAAAAAATGTCTTTGAAAATGTTTTTAATACCATTATGGATGTAAAGGGCAAGACAAAAGATAATGCTAGGGCAAGGGCGGATATGACTCGTTTTTGTGATAAAAAAGAACTAGAGTTTGACACTAGAAGACAATGTTATCCTTCCGCTGCATACACGTTAGATAAGGTCTGTAAGAAAGAATTCCTACCATGGGTTGAACAGTTGAAACTACCCGATGGATATATGTCCAATGTGGGACGATGTGTCAACATGGCTAAATACCAGATGTTTGGGATGAAAAGTCATGATTGCCATGTTTTCATGCAACTCTTGCTTCCGATTGGGCTTCGAGATCTGTTGCCAAAGAAGATTTGGGAACCGATAACAGAGTTGAGCAATTTCTTCAGGCGTTTGACATCAAAGGTTATATCCTCTAGTGACATGGAGCGATTAGAAGCTGAGATTCCAGTGATTCTTTGTAAGCTTGAGACAATATTCGTACCTGGCTTTTTTAACAGTATGGAACATCTACCAGTTCACTTGCCTTTTGAGGCAAAAATAGCTGGACCAGTTCAATTTCGCTGGATGTACCCTTTTGAGAGGTAACTATTTAGTACTTATTCCTAATTTCAAAAGTAGCCTTCCGTATTGTGTGATTATTAAGGCATAGAAATATGTTAATTTCATTTTAGGTTTTTGCGTCGTTTAAAGAAAATGATTGCAAATAAAGCACAAGTGGAGGGGTCAATCGTCAATGCTTTTCTTGTTAGGGAGGCAAGTTTTTTCTGTTCACATTATTTCGAACAACACGTTTTCACACGTGGGAGGAATGTGCCGAGACAAGACGATGGAGGAGTAAGGTCTGGCCCAAATGTTGGAATAAATGTGTTTTCACAACCTTATCGATTAGGAGGAAAGCCGAAAAGGCGGTACCTGCTCCCAGTTGAGAAACAGGCGATGCAAACTTACTTTCTACTTAACGTTCCTGAATGTGATGCATTTATTTCGTAAGTTTTTCTATGTAGGTTTGATTTGCCACTTGACTAAAAGAATGGGTGGCTTAGCCAATTTTATCGATCTATTTATGTAGGTTGTTTGAGGAAGTGTTAAGGCGAGAACATCCCTCAATTTCTGACTTCGAAGTTGCTTCACAACTTCAAAACGTTTCACCTCCTGGTTCGCCAAACATGTGCGTGTTTACAAAAGTTTTGAGAAAATTAAGATATTTTCAAATATTCGTGATAATTATTTTCATTAACATCGTAGGTCATGGAACAAGATAACATACCGAAAGTATATAAGGACATTGCGCATGGTCCGTTAGTGGAGGTGACTAGACATAATAAGTGCTTCATCAATGGCTACCGTTTTCACACTGAAAAATATGGTACTAAGAAGGTCTCCTATAATAGTGGAGTGTGTGTGGATTGCGATGGTCTAGAGTACTACGGACATATCAACGAGATTTTAGAGGTTGAGTTTCCAGCACTACCGATCAAGCGTTGTGTCTTTTTCAATTGTGATTGGTATGATCCAACACCAGGGGTTGGAACTAAAAAACATGAGAAATACAATATGGTCGAAGTCAATAAAAAGAAAAGACTTCAAACATACGAACCATTCATACTTGCGATGCAAGCAACACAAGTGTTTTATCTTCCATTTTCAAGTATGAGGAGGGATAGAGTTGATTGGTTGGCAGTTTTTCGTATTAAACCGCGAGGTTGGATCGATGTGGGTGGTGAAATTGCTGAAAATAGCTCAAAACTAGCCATCTACCAAGATGTAATGGTCGATACTTGCAGTATTGAACAACCCACCGAGGGGGAACAATTGTATTTGGCCTCAACAGATGACGGGAATGGTATTCCGATTGATGATTCAGACGAATCCGACGCAATTGAGGAAGAAATTTTCTTTTTGAGATCATCTGATTCAGAACAAAATCAGCATCCATCATCTAGTTCCGATGATGACGTATCCGATGAATAGGTGATCGAGCGTTAATATATAAACTCACTTATGTTGTATTATAATATAACTTAATGTATATCTCAATGCAGAAATGTCTCAATCCGAGAATGAGAGTTTACGACAGCAGCGTATTCGTCAGCTTGCCCGTTCATTTCGTTTGTTGCCACAAACGGGAGAGGATGATCAGCAGACATTGGATCCGATAGGCCAGGGTGCGGTTGACGAGGTAAGGACAACAAGAGGTATGTATATTCAATCTAAATTTAGTGTTACTTAATTGTATTAGAATTTTATATATTACTGAATAATTTATGTTTACTGTAGGTACCACTATTGGTTCGTCATCTAGGACTACGCAAAGTGAAACTTTAGGTTAGCATGAACCTGTTTATTTTTCGATTTCTAATTTATTAGTGTCGATGAACTAAGAAATTTGAGAATGAGACTAGGTGGATCTAGGGCAGCACCTGAGACTTCAAATTCCAGGGTAGGGGCAAACGATGATGAGGACGTGGCCGATGGCCGTATTGAGATAACGGTTCGCCCGGATGGCAGGTATGTCTTCGATTTACTCGAATATAGATTTATTGTCGTAATGTTAAATATTTTGCACCTAACCCACGATTACATACAGCGTGTTTTGGCCTAGTTCTGCATCGAGACACTTCCGGCCTATATTCAAGTCAGAATCCACCCTAGAGGGTATCACTTGGAAGCGTGTCCCTTTGATAACAAAACAGTGGTACGAAGTTGAGATGAAGGTAAGTTTATAAAATCAAATATCACATACAATAGTTATAAGTGTACAACAATTTTACTAAGAGAGTTTATAAGTAACCGATGATGCTTTGGCTTGCAGAAACACATTAAGTGGAAGCCGAGAAACGAGGTTAAAGTCCGTCGCATCTACAACAAGAAGGCCTGTGAGCTTTACAACAAATGGGTGCATGAGGTCCGGAACAGCAATGACGAGAAGGTTACCTCGGCCATTCCCGCAAATGTCTTGGAGCATTGGAGGGAGCATTGGAAATCCAAGGATGCCGTAAAGAAGTCAAAAATAGCAAAAGCAAACCGACGGGGTGGAAATTCTAATGCTGATGCAGAGTCCACACACACCGGTGGATCCCGATCGTTCATGGAGACCTCGCAGAAAATGGTAAGATTTATTAAAATATAGCAATTAATTTGAAATACTACAAACATATGTTCTTATATACAATTATAAGAAATGATTGTAGGGTCTTGGTCCATGGGGGACCTACGAGTGGACGCATACAAAGCACCATAATGGTAGTGAGTATTGCAGCACCAAGGCAAATCGTATAAAGGTATGCCTTATGTTATATATAGTATTAATGTTTTATGACTATCAATTTTTACTAAATTTATTTTTTATATTCATTGCTTTCAGGAAGGTATGACTGCGATCGAGGAAGGAATGTCTCAGCTCGGTGATACAGAATATAGCCGCGATGAGGCACTTCTTTCCTTGGTCCACCGGGATAAAAAGAAAAGAATTTATGGGCTTGGATCACTTGCAGCGACGGTGCCAATAGAGGAGGTTTTCGATTCCAGCGACGGGCATATCCCGAGTGGTCCGAGTTACGCCCAACGTTTGGAGAATCTCGAGAAAAATCACATGACCATCATTGAGCAGCTCAAGATGATCAATGCTCGCTTGGACAAGCGCAACGACGATGGGGACTCTAGTGCGCCTCCGGTTTGTTGACATTTATGTTTTCCGCATGATTAATATTTAGTATTGATGATATTATGACTGGATTATATGTTTTGGACCATACATGATGTTGGAATATTTCAAATTTCTATAACTGAAACATTTTTTAGATATTTTGGATGTTTATTATGGATTTTTAGTTGATTCAGTTTGGTTGTTTGATTGTGGTTTGAAATTTCGTTTCGTACTTATATATAGGTTGTAGTACGGTTATTCGATTGTGATTTGAAATTTGATTTCATATTCGTGTACTAGTTGGAAAAGACATCGGTAAATCGTGCAATGAAAAATTGTGTAAAATTAGGGACGGAATTTGTGACGAATTTTGTCCGTCCTAAATTTCCATCCCGAAATTAGGGACAGAAATAGTGACGAAATGTTTTCGTCACTATTTTGGGCACGAAATTTGTAGTTTGTGTAGTAATGGAAATTTTCGTCCCTAATTTCATTCTTAATTTTATCTTTAATTCTGTCCTTAAATTAGGGACGGAATTCGCGACGGAAATTTCCGTCATTGACTTTATGACCACATTTTGGTTTAGGTTAGGCATGGAAAATTCCGTCCTTAATTTCGTCTTTAATTTCGTTCCTAATTCCATATCTAATTTAGGGACGGAATTAGGAACAAATAGTGTTAGCTACGAGAACTTTGCAGAGGGAATTTATTTTGTTTCTAATTCCATCTCTAATGTCATTAGTAACGGAAAAAATAGATTTTGGAACAAAATTTTTCCGTCTCTAAAATGCTATTTTCTTGTAGTGAAAAGCGCTAAATATACTAATTTCGAACACTCTACAACAAATATGAAAAGCACTGTAATTAGAACTATAGAGCACAAAGTAAGCATTATCTAATAACATGCTATATAACAAAATGGAAGAACATTGAAAAAACAAAAGCGCTAAATATACTAATTTCGAACACTCTACAACAAATACGAAAAGCACTCCAATTAGAACTATCGAGCACAAAGTAAGTATAATCTATAACATGCTATATAATACAAAGCAAAAACATTGAAAAAACAAAAGCGCTAAATATACTAATTTCAAACACTCTACAACAAATATGAAAAGCACTTCAATTAGAACCATCGAGCACAAAGTAAGTATAATCTATAACGTGCTATATAATACAAAGCAAAAACATTGAAAAAACAAAAGCGTTAAATATACTAATTTCGAACACTCTGCAACAAATAAGAAAAGAACTGTAAGTAGAACTATCGAGCACAAAGTAAGCATAATCTAATAACATGCTATATAATAGAAAGCAAAAACATTGAAAAAACAAAAGCGCTAAATATACTAATTTCGAACACTCTACAACAAATAAGAAAAGCACTCCAATTAGAACTATAGAGCACAAAGTAAGTATAATCTATAACGTGCTATATAATACAAAGCAAAAACATTGAAAAAACAAAAGCGCTAAATATACTAATTTCTCTACAACAAATACGAAAAGCACTGTAATTAGAACTATAAAGCACACAGTAAGCATAATCTAATAACATGTTGTATAATAAAATGGAAGAACATTGAAAAAACAAAAGCGCTAAATATACTAATTTCGAACACTCTACAGCAAATGCGAAAAACACTGCAATTAGAACTATAGAGCACAAAGTAAGTATAATCTATAACGTGCTATATAATACAAAGCAAAAACATTGAAAAAACAAAAGCGCTAAATATACTAATTTCGAACACTTTACAAGAAATAAGAAAAGAACTGTAATTAGAACTATAGAGCACAAAGTAAGCATAATCTAATAACATGCTATATAATAAAATGGAAGAACATTGAAAAAACAAAAGCGCTAAATATACTAATTTCGAACACTCTACAACAAATACGAAAAGCACTCTAATTAGAACTATCGAGCACAAAGTAAATATAATCTATAACATGCTATATAATACAAAGGACAAACATTGAAAAAACAAAAGCGCTAAATATACTAATTTCGAACACACTACAACAAATAAGAAAATCACTGTAATTAGAACTATAGAGCACAAAGTAAGGAAAATCTAATAACATGTTATATAATAAAATGGAAGAACATTGAAAAAACAAAAGCGCTAAATATACTAATTTCGAACACTCTACAGCAAATGCGAAAAGCACTGCAATTAGAACTATAGAGCACAAAGTAAGTATAATCTATAACGTGCTATATAATACAAAGCAAAAACATTGAAAAAACAAAAGCGCTAAATATACTAATTTCGAACACTTTACAAGAAATAAGAAAAGAACTGTAATTAGAACTATCGAGCACAAAGTAAGTATAATCTATAACATGCTATATAATACAATGCAAAAACATTGAAAAAACAAAAGCGATAAATATACTAATTTCGAACACTCTACAACAAATACGAAAAGCACTCCAATTAGAACTATCGAGCACAAAGTAAGTATAATCTATAACGTGCTATATAATACAAAGGAAAAACATTGAAAAAACAAAAGCGTTAAATATACTAATTTCGAACACTCTACAACAAATAAGAAAATCACTGTAATTAGAACTATAGAGCACAAAGTAAGCAAAATCTAATAACATGCTATATAATAAAATTGAAGAACATTGAAAAAACAAAAGCGCTAAATATACTAATTTCGAACACTCTACAGCAAATGCGAAAAGCACTGCAATTAGAACTATAGAGCACAAAGTAAGTATAATCTATAACGTGCTATATAATACAAAGCAAAAACATTGAAAAAACAAAAGCGCTAAATATACTAATTTCGAACACTCTACAACAAATAAGAAAATCACTGTAATTAGAACTATAGAGCACAAAGTAAGCAAAATCTAATAACATGCTATATAATAAAATGGAAGAACATTGAAAAAACAAAAGCGCTAAATATACTAATTTCGAACACTCTACAACAAATAAGAAAAGCACTGCAATTAGAACTATAGAGCACAAAGTAAGTATAATCTATAACGTGCTATATAATACAAAGCAAAAACATTGAAAAAACAAAAGCGCTAAATATACTAATTTCGAACACTTTACAAGAAATAAGAAAAGAACTGTAATTAGAACTATCGAGCACAAAGTAAGTATAATCTATAACATGCTATATAATACAATGCGAAAACATTGAAAAAACAAAAGCGATAAATATATTAATTTCGAACACTCTACAACAAATACGAAAAGCACTCCAATTAGAACTATCGAGCACAAAGTAAGTATAATCTATAACGTGCTATATAATACAAAGGAAAAACATTGAAAAAACAAAAGCGTT